GCAGCCACCAGACCCCACTCCCCTCCCAGAACTGGGAACAGAACCCAGGGGTCCTGACTCCCAGCCCCCTCCCCGCAGCCACCAGACCCCACTCCCCTCCCAGAACTGGGAACAGAACCCAGGGGTCCTGACTCCCAGCCCCCTCCCCGCAGCCACCAGACCCCACTCCCCTCCCAGAACTGGGAACAGAACCCGGGCGTCCTGATCCCCCGTCCCCTGCTCTAACCCCTAGACCCCACTGTCTCAGAAACAGCAGCCAATGAACTACTGAGACGTCAGCGATCGTGTTTTCACGAAAGTGATGAAAAAAACAGTGCAAAGGGGAAGAAGCCCATTGCACACACGGATTTGGAACAGCCTGGCCTGACAGAACAGGGGTCAGTCCGGTCACTGGCTGACGCCCTGCACAGCCGTGCCAGGGGCGGGATCTGGCTCCAGCTCTGTGGCATGGGACCTCTACAAGGCGTGAGCCATAAAACTCCCTCGTGCGAGGAATGTACGTTCAGCATCTGGAGAGCCCTGGCATTCCCCGAGCACAGCCGCGCACGCAGCCCGCCGTGAAATCTACAGCTCCATAAACGCCCAGCCTGCCTGGTGTATCCCATCGCTTCATTTCCCCTCGCTGTGCCAGCCACATTAGCCATTCCACCGAGGCCTGGCCTGCGACACGCGCTCCCAGCCGCACGCTAATGCCATCCAGATGTCGAGGGGAGGGGGGAAGGGCGCAGCGCCAGATGCAAGCTCGGACGTGGTCTATTGGAGGTAGCGTGATCCACGCACAGGAGCGGGCAGCAGAACTCCTGGGTTCTAGTCCCGGCTAGGGAAGGGAGTGGTGCCTAGTGGTGGAGGGGAGTCAGACCTCCCAGGATTCCACGCCCCCCCAGCTTTGGGAGGGATGCAGAGGGTCTAGCACAGAGAAGTGGGAGCTAGGACTCCTGAGTTCTATCCCCGGGGGCGGGCAGGGAGGAGAAGGAGCCAGGACTCCTGGGTTCTATTTGCAGACGGAAGGAGAGCCTAGTGGCTAGAGAAGGTGCTTTAGGCAATCGCTGATGCTGGCTTAACTTGAGCGGACCGTTGTGAGGTTTGCAGAGGAACCTGTCTAGAGGAGGCCCGAAGGGGAAGTCTGAGCCTGGGAGCCAGCCGGCCCCGAGCTGGAGGGGGGGATGGTGAGAAAAAGCTGGGGGCGGGGAGGGGGTTTCCTGTGGGGGCGGACCTGTGACAAGGGCGGGAGGGAGGTGAAGAGGAGTTTCCTGCTGTGGTTGTTCCACTCCAAGCTGGGGAGAGAGACCCCATCCTTAGCACCCTCGGTCTGCGTGCTTGAGAGAGGCACACATCCGCAGGAAGAAAGACGGACCTACCCGAGCTCGCCCCCATTGCCCGCGGAGCCCCGTCCAGCTCCCAGGCTGCACCACCCACCACCCCCCGCAACAGGGCGCGTGTGCAAAGGATTCTGGGTCGCGCTGGACCAAGAACCAGCCTGGATGCAGCGTGACGGCCTGGCCTGCGGCCCCTCACCTGCCCAGCTTCTCCAGCAGCTCGTAGAGCTCCTCCACGTTGCCGGGTCTGAACGTGGCCATGGCGGTGGGGCTCAGCCGCTCCGTCATAAAGACCTCATCGTCCTCGGGCCAGCTGGTCTCCTGCAGAAGGCAGAGGGAAGAGACTGAATGCAACCCCCCAAGCTTAACCAGCAGGACCGTGGCTGAGCCCCTCCTTTAGCTTAGTGGGTAGAGACCCCTGTACTTGCTGCAGAAGGTCACCAGTTCAATCCACACCGAGCCAGCCACGAGTGGTCACAGAAATTCGGTACGAGTCCCCCCGGGGCAGTGCGCTTACCCTGGCTGTGTGTTTAAGGCCTAACAGGCCGAGTGCCAGGATTCCTGGGAACTACCCCTGGCTGGGGAATGGGAGTGGGTCTATTTAGTTCAAGCAAAGAGAAGTAGGAGCTAGGACTTCTGCATTTTACTGCCAGATCTGGGATGGAGAAACTGGCTGAGAACCAGGACTCCTGGGTTCAATCCCTGGTTCCAGGAGAGGGGTGGGGTCTAGTTAGTTAAAGCAAAGGAGAGTGGGAGCCAGGACTCCTGGGTTCTTTCCTGGCTCTGCCACCGACTCCCTGCATGCCACTGGGCAAATCGCTTCCCTTCCCCCTACCCCACTTCCCCATGGGAAGGGGGATACTGGCAGCAGGGGGTCTCCTGGCTGAAACCGAGTGAAGGTTTGTAGAGCTCTTTGGGATGGGAAGGGGCAAAGCCCCCACTACCGAGGTTAACATCAACCCTGCCACGGTCACCGTGGGGGCCCCACGCCTTTAAGGTACACTGAGGAACAGCAGGGTTTTCCTGCCCTGCATTGCTACAGGAACAACAGGTTCACAAGCAGGGTCACTTCGTCACACGGATCACGCCTGGGGAATAACAGAGCTGGGGAGAGGGGCCCAGCTGCGATCCCTGAGAGGCAACTCCTCTGGCAGGCCCGCATTCCCACACGGCATCCTCTGCCGCCCGGCTTCGGCTGGCACGCCTCCATCCATGCCGGCACGCTGCAGCGTCTTCCATCCAAACGGGGCGGCAAAGACCCAGCGCTCTGAGGAGCTAGAAGAATTCCTCACCCAGTGAGTGACGTTACAAAGCGCTATCGGTTAGCACGCACGGGTACCTCCAGGCTCCGCTCCCCCCAGGACTTAGGACAGGGCAGCACTCTGGTCTCTACTGGCAAATATCGACTCTTCAACGGTAACCAGTAGATGGGGTGGTTGCAGTGCAGCTACTTCTGGGGTGGGGCGCAACAGTTGTTGAACAGCACATCCCACTGCTGCACAGGGATCATTCACCTGCCACTGAAAAGCGGCCAGTTCTGGGGTGAGTCACAGCAAAACAGCACACTGCAACGCCATACTGGGAGCTCAGTGGTTTGAGCATTGGCTTGCTAAACCGAGGGTTATGAGTTCAATCCTTGAGAGGGCCATTTAGGGATCTGGGGCAAAAGTCAATGACCAAGCAGGGAAAGACCCTCCAGCCTGTACTCCACCAGGTCTTCCCCGTCTTTTCAACTATCGCCCGGTCGCAACCTGCCGAGGCCACGGGACGGAGAATCCGCCACGTCCGCGAGGAGGCTGAGCCGGGTTAGAAACGTGCCCCTTACTTCCAACTTTGGGTCAATTTCCAGCCACTCGTTCTGCCGCCACCTGGCAGATTAGAGAAGCTTCTTCTGCCCTGCCCGGGTTCCAGGCTGCGAACCACCCAGCTCTCACCTGGATACAAAGCCATGCACCGTTAATCCCTCCTTATAGAACAGCGCAGACCCTGCCCCTTAGCCGCCTCCCTGGTGAGCCTCTTTAGAACCAACAAACTGCTCCACAGACGGGTGAGCCGGGAGCTGGGTTGCGGGGACTGAAGGAAAGTTGATAGAGGCGAAAGGCAGCCAAGAGAGGCTGGTCCAGCGGCTAGGCAACTAAGCAGGGGCTGGGGTGACCTGGGTTCAACTCCTTACTCTGCCACAGACTCGGTGTGTGGCCTCGGCTGAGTCACTTAGCTGCGGTGCCTCAGTTTCCCCACCTAGACACTGGGTATAGTTGCCCTGCCTCAAGAATATATACATTACTGGTTGGGAGGTGCTCAAATGCTGCAGTAAGAGGGCCCAGATAATTATGTCAGATAAATTTAAAAGCAAACTTTTTTTTAAAAAGTGTAAGATTAACCTGTGGAACTTGCTGCCACAGGATATTACTGGGTCCCAGATCTCTTCAGGACTGAATGGTTTCTGGCAGAGGGCTGTTTCCAGGAGACCCCACCACTACTCCGCCATCCCCAGATGGGAAAACAGAGGGGGAGAAAACTGCGGAGCATCATGCACCCAAGCCAGGACCCCCGGCCCTTCAATGACCCGAGGAGAGAGCAGATCCCAGCCACCAATCACCAGGGTCAACTCTCACCTGGACGGTGTCGGAGGGGCTCCTGGCCTCCCCATTGGCAAGGCCCACGGCCCCGCCATCCTCAGCCATCAGCTGCAAAGACAAACGAAGGGCCCGGGTTAGCTGGGAAGAGACGTGGTGCTGAGGACGGGGCACGGCCCTGCCGTCATGGGCGGAGCCTGGCTGTGAGCAGTGGCGCTTAGGGTCACCTGCCAGAGAAAAGCAGAACGTGGGGATGCGGATACCCCTCAATCCTGACCCACCACCCCCAGGTCCCCCCCAGCTCTTCTAACGTCCCTTAATCCCCCCCTCTTCCATCCGAGCCCTAAACACACGCTCACAGCTCTGCTGATGCCCCTCAGTCCTGACCCAACCCTGAACACACACCATCAAATAAGCCGCCACCTGGGTCCACATCTCCAGCAGAGGCCACAGAAACGCTTTTCACCTGTGACCTTCACACCCAAGCCGGAGGGCCGGGCGCCCTTTAACCTGTCGCTCCCCGTGCTCCTCTCCAGCCCCGTGGGCTACGGAGGGGGCCCGACCGCAGGGACGCAGATGAACACCCGCGTGAAACAAAATCAGAAGCCGAAACGAGACAGAGACTCAAGGCACAACAAGGCGGCCGGAAAGCAAAGCGGGGGAGACCCCGGAGAGCGATTACAAGGGAGATTACTTTGCCGGGTCACAGCTGAGCTGCCGAGGGATTTACAGCCTTGAGTCAGCGGGGGAGAAGGAATTAAAATCCCTGGGGGAGGGGGAGGCACACGGCCACTTTTTGGCCCTGAGCTGGTCCATGCAGCCTGGACAAAGGCCCAAACGACATCAATGGGGCTTTGCGGATCAGCTTGCAGGATCGGGGCCTTCATTGCTACACCCCCCGGGCCTCAGCCTCAGTTTCCCCAAGGCTCTGCCCAGGCCGCTCTGGCAGGAGAAGGGGGCTGGAGAATCCTGCTGTGCAAGGGGCTCCCCAGGCAGCATGGAGCTGACTGAAGGATCCTGCGCCCAGCCCCAGTGCACTGCACTATGGGTATCCTCGGCTCCCCAGGGCCCATAGGTGGCAGGGCATAAGCTAGAGCAGCCCCAAGGCTGCGCTAAATGACCCCAGGAGCTGGAAAGGCCCTGCACAGCCTGAGAATACAGACAGCACAAAGCCCTTAATCCCCACCCCAAGTGCAGGAACAGAGGATCAGCCCCCCGCACCCCAACCCTGGGCTGTCGTTCCCCCGACTCGCCCACTGCCGAGGGGGCCTGCAGCACCGACCCCAGAGAAGTCGCCCCCTGTGCAGTTTCGGCGACAGCAATTACACTTTTGTTTTGAATCCCTCTCTGGTGAAGCCCCAAGGGCCCCCGGTGAGGTGACTCACGGCTCCTGCTGGGGGAGGGCCTGGGGGGCCGTGGGGGATGTTTGGAACCGGACGAGCCAGCGTCTCTGGATTGATTTTTAATTAGATCCTCCCCTGAAATTACAAGCCAGCAGGTTTCGAATATCTTCCAGATCAACTGGACAATAAACTCAAACCAAACACCAGAGCTTGCCAAGTATCCAAGTTCCACTCCTCAGGGGGGCCTGCCAGAGGATCCCGGCCCTAATGCATCCTGAATCCCAGAGCCGGGGAGATAGGACAGAGACACAGGGAACCAGGCACGTTTGGGAGGAAACAGACGACGGCCTGTTTGCCCATGCCCCAGAGATCACAACGCTAGATGCCCTGCCACCCCCCACTGCTAATTACAGCCCCCACGTCCAGGCAGGGCCGGCTCCAGGCACCAGCACTCCAAGCATGGGCTTGGGGCGGCACCTGGAGGGGGCAGCGCTTCCCCCAGCACTCTGGCCGGCCGGGAAGAGTGGGGCCATGGCCGGCCTTGCCGCCCTCCCCCGGCCGGCTGGAAAGAGCGGGGCCACGGCCGGCCTCGCCGCCCTCCCCTGCCGTGCTCCCCGCTGGGGGGTGGCAGGAGGCTTTTTTGCCTGGGGCAGCAAAAAAGCCAGAGCTGGCCCTGCGTCCAGGCCACTCAGGGACCTTTCCCACGTAACCTGCTACCTCCTGGCATCGTGACCTCGAACCAGCTGATTGCCATCCAGAGAGGCAGGTTGGCCAAGTGCCTAAGGCAACAGCTAGGACTCCTGGGTTCCCTTCCCAGCTCTGGAAGGGGAGTGGTGTCTAGTGATTAGAGATGGGGGGGCAGGGCTGTGAGTCAGGACTCCTGGGTTTTATTCCCAACTCTACTAATGACAGTTAGGGGTGGAGGGGGGTCCCTTTCCCTCCTGGCTCAGTTTCCCCATCTCTATAAGGGGGGGGGCAACAATGTTCCACCCTGTAGAGGGGTGGTGAAGCTAAACTCACTGGTAACAGGGCTTGGACGCTCTGGTGACAGGCCCATTAATCCGGTGTGTCAGCAACGCAGTCAGGCAGCTGAGACCTGTGGGCCCCACACCCAGCCCTCGCTCCATTGACACTGGTGACAAAACTTTCCCGGCACACCCGAAGGTTTCATTTACTCCTGCTTCTCCAAACAGCCGTGTCTGCGTTTCCCAGGCCCCGATCACGGGCCAGGGAACCGCAGTCGGCAGAGAGCCCCACAGCTGAGTCCGGCAGCTATGGACTGTTCCCCCCGCCCCAGGGGATGGGGGCAACGAAACACCACCGAGCAAACCCTGGGGTTCCCTCCCCTTCATCCAGCAGCGCGGGCTAGTGGCTACAGCTCCAGACAGGGAGTTGCGGCTTGTCTACATTTGAAATGCTGCAGAGCTTCAGTCTAGATGCTACCCACACCGACAGGAGGGGGTTCTCCCCTCGGCGTAGCCAATCCACTTCCCCCGGAGGCGGGAGCGAGGGCGGCGGAAGAATTCTCCCGCTGACCTGGCGGTGGCTACCCCGGGGGCTGGGTCGGTTTGACTGCACCGCTCGGGGGCGTGGATTTTTCATGACGTAGTTAAGCCCACTTAATTTCCTAGCGTAGACCAGGCCTTAGTCAGCAGCCCTTAGGCTGGGACACAGCAGAGCGGGGTTCCATAACCACCTCCGACACTGATCTCCTGGGTGACCTCAGGCAAGTCACTTGCCCTCTCCGTGCCTTGTTCCCCCCCCCCCAGAGAACAGGGTGAGGAGACCGGCTTGGTGCTTTGGAGAGCTATGCAGACCAAGCCGCTATCTAGAGCCAACTGTTATCTGCCCCCTGCAGCAGTTCAGTTGCTTGTTCAGCAACGCCAGATACTTGGATTGGACGGGGGTAAATCAGGGTCAGCTCCCCTGGAATTAACTGGGGTTAAACCAGCATAAGGAAGGGCAGGTTCTATCCAACCCTCAGCCTACCTGCAAAAGCGGTTTGGCACCAGTCGCCGCTCGTCCGCCAGGTCTCCTGTCCAAACCTGGGCCCAGCTACGCAAAAGTGTTTGGACACAAGCAGCGAAAACCCTCTGGACAATAGCGGAGGAGCGGCTCTGCTGAGAATCACTTAACATTTAACTGCCGGGTTTTCTAAGTGCTCTCAAGTCAGCGTGTGAATTTAAATGGTTTTCAGCGTCACCGTACCTCATAGGGGCCTGGGGAAGGATCAGTGACCCAACCGTTTGAGCAAGGGGTTCCCGACAGAGAGCCCTCCCCCACACCACCACCACAAAAAAAAACCCATGATCTCAAAATGTTATGGTCCTCTTAACCCTGGAACACAAGTGCTTTGTGGCTAGCAATCACCAATCCAGAAAGTGAAAATGACTAGAGGAAGTGAAACTGACCGGCACTGCCCACACAGAGTGAAATAACAACATTAGATTCTCATGGTTCTTCTGGGTCTGAAGAGTTCAGGCCTTATCAGCATCTGCCTCCTAAATCTACTTCAGCAGATGGGTAGGGAAGAATAATGGACAAAAGACCCCAATGATTTAAGGGGGAAATGATCACTGCATCTGTCATATATGTGGTTCCACCCACTGTTGTCCACCAGAGCTTCCTGGTAATGCTGGGGACAGAACTTGGGCCACTGCACTAAAGGAGGATCCCTGCTAGCTGTATAGGGCTTATGACACTCGGCTGAGCGGCTCAGATGCCATTCAGTAGAGGGCAGAAAGTTCAATAGTTGTTCAGAGGGGTCACCCCCCCACACTCCACGGCACCCTCTAGCCCTGATTCAGAGGGGAGAAGGCACATATACCACATGGCGATCCTCACAGCCGTCTCCCATCCAAGAACTGACCAGCCAACACCTGCTTAGCTGAACAGTCCTGAGATGACCACATCCAGAGACAGGACAGATGCAAGAACAAAAGGTACTCCCCTGTGCTGGCCGATCAGCGTCTCCGCTGTGTAGTGCCAGTCCCCTCGGCTCTCAGACACAGCTGCGCGAGCGCTCCCAGAGGGCGACACGTTTGGCTGCTCCGCAGCCCCTGCTCAATTGGCATCAGCCGGCTTCCTCTCTGGGGAAAGGTGAGGTCAGGTTTCTCCTACGGAGGCTTGCCCAAATGCTTTCTAGGAGCCTGGTCAAAGAACAATCATCACAATACCCAGCTCTTACGCAGCGCTCCTCCTCAGCGGATCTCACAGCGCTTTACAAAGGAGGGCAGCCTCCATTATCCCCAGTTTATAGATGGGGAAACTGAGGCACGGAGCAGGCAAGCGACTGGTCACCCAGCAGACCAGTGGCAGAGCTGGGGTAAAGTCCAGACCTCCTGAGTCCAGCCCAGCGTGTGACCCAGGGGAAGCCAGTTTCAGTTCTTGTCTCCGCCTTCTAAACAACATTCAAAAGTGCCCAAGTTATTTTATGTTCCATACTTAGGCCGGTAATCGCTCTAGGGGCTGCAGGAAAGTTCACCAGTGGGACGGGGTGACCACACAGTGATGGATGGCTCCAGGCAGCAAATATCTGGGTAACTATGCCTGCACCACAATGCTGCCCTGTGCGGATTACAAACCCAGCTGTGCCAGAGGACTTGAAACAAAGACTGACCTTGCAGCATAAAATAGAGGTCTCAGCCTGGCACTGGGGGGAGGAGTCCAAGGTCTTAATGCAATTTATAAAGACATGGCAAGAGCCAATCTACACCGCAACACAAAATCAGTTCCCCCAGCACTGGTGCACCTGGGGTACAGATGGACCCTCTCGGAGGTCACAGTGAAAAGCGACAGAAGCCAAGAAGGCAGCACTCTGGATCACTGCAAGCAGAATTACAAAGGGACAACCCAGCAGAGTTGTGTTTCATATTGAAAAGAACCACCAGATAGCAACAATACAGATGCTTCAGGGCATGAGCCACCAGGGGCGGTCAGGAAGAAATCTCTGGTCTTACAACACAGCACTGCACAATCACGCGCCATCTGCAGAGAGTTACACCTGCCCCTGGCGCACCCACTCACTTCTAGAGAGGAGATAGGAGGCTAGGCAGAACGTCCGAGCGGCCTGAGTGCGCAGATCCCAAAGCCCCGACCCCACATGCAGACACTGGGCCCAGGGACAACAATAGCTTTGACAGGGAGATGCTCATTTGAGAGCCGATTGGAATTTTTCATTGGAAACATTTCCCCACCTCAATGAAACCCATTTGTTTTGTCCAAACAGGACTGCAGGAAACATGCATCTTTGATGACCTGGGGGAGGGGGTGAGTTGAAAAACCAACACAATTTCCAGCCAAACCCACAAAAATGTTGGGTTATGGGCTGAAATTTTACAGTTTTGAGGGGGAAAAACAACAACAACAACAACAACAACATTTGCTCCATTTTTTGGACAAAACAAAAGACAAACCAGCCAACCCCCTAAAGTAGATGACAAAACCTTTTCGGTTTTCATCTCATTTTTTATTGGGAATACAAAACTGATTTCCCAGTCAGCTCTAAGCCTCCTCTCACCCTGCTCCATGCTGACTATCTCTGCCCAACCCCCGGCCCATATCTGAGCTCCTCACAATCTTTATCTATCCCCCCCCCCGCCCCCCGCACTGCTGCGAGACAGGGCCATGTCACTAGCCCCATGGTACAAATGGGGAAACTGAGAAGCTGAGTGACATGTCCAAGGTTGCACATGGAGTCTGTGGCAGAGGTGAGAATTGAGCCTCTAATGCCAAAGCCCCAGGCCCCCCACACTAACCACTAGGCCATCCTTCCTCTGCTTTGCTCTGCCTCCCAGCTCCACTCTGTCCTTGCGCCGGGGAGGTGCCTCGACCAACAATCCAGGCACAACAGATTCCCTGGGATCAATTACGTCCCAGTTCCAAGGGGTGGGAGATTGCCCGTCTCGCTGGGTTTAGACCCTGCTCGGAGCTGCGCTTCCTCCCCATGGGACCACGTGCAACGGCCCTGTACCTGAGCACTGCGGGGTGGCAACAGCACAGGATGGTGCTCCCGTGGGAAGATGCCAAGCAGGGATACATCTGCATGGGCAATCTGTAGGAGAGTGGAGCTGGGTTGGAGGGTGGCAGGGTCTTGGATCAATGGATTTGAGCTAATTGGGGAATCCTCTGTCATCCCCCCCCTCCCCATTCCCCTCACCTCCATAAGACACCCACACAGTATCACTGGATCACACACATCCCAGAGCTGATCTATACATTTTCCCCAAGCCACCCCCCTCCCCACCACCTGTGTGTGTTCCCCTGTGCAACACACGCTCCTCCTTCCCCTGCACCTCCAGGCCGCTGCAAAGATTAGAGACGCAACTTTCCCCGGCGACACACAACACTCCCTGCGCACAATAGCACAAAGTGTTACATACACACCCCCTTTCCTAGCACACACACCCCTGCAAGTTCTACATACACACAACACACACCCCTTCCCCAGCCTACACACAATGCTTCCAGTACACACCACACATCCCTCCCTACGATGTGCCCACCACTGCAAGTTCTATACACACACACACACACAACACCATAGATTATATACAACCCGCTTCCCAGCATGCGCCCAAACCACCGCAAATTCTATAGACACTGTAGACACAACACACCCCTTTCCCAGCAGACACACAACACCATAAAGAATGTACAACCCGCTTCCCAGCATGCACCCATACCACCGCAAGTTCTATAGACACAACACACCCCTTTCCCAGCAGACACACAACACCATAAAGAATATACAACCCGCTTCCCAGCACGTACCCACCACTGCAAATTCTAGATACAAAACACACACCCTTGTGCAGCACACACACAATGCTGCATAGTTCATACACCCCAGCATAGTTTATATACAACCCACTTCCCAGCCAATTCTATCGACACAACAACACCCCCCCCTTCCGCATCATACACACAACGCTGCAAAGATCTCACCCACACCCCTTCCGCATCATGCACACCACACTCCAACACACAACACTACAAACCCTTCTATGTGCACACCCCTTCCTGGCACACACACACACCCCTGCCACTGTGCAGCACACACCACTGCAGCGCTACACAACACACACTTACACAGCTGCTGGCACTAGGGGGGCAGGGGGAAGCTGCCACCCCCCTGCCTGGAAGCGGTTTCCATAGGCAGGGTCTGCAGTTGGGGTCCATGGCTCTCAGCACCCCCCCGCTACACACATCGTGCAGGACGCGGACGGACACACACACTTATGCAACACGGGCTACGTTGCAACCGATCCACACACACGCACCCGCCCCTTTGCGCGCCTGGGGCTGGATCGGACGGACACACAGACATTTGCAGGACCCCCTGAGCCGCCCCCCAGCCTGGCTGCTCCAAAGCCAGGACCCCCCCGCAACCGGGACAACCCCCTCCCCGTCCCAGCCAGGCCCTGGACCCCCACCCACCTGTCCGGGGCAGGAACCCGCTGGGGCCCCCTTAAAGCCATGCCATGGCCGGGCAGGGAGCCTGGAGAAAGTGCTCCCCACGCAGCGAGGCGCAAAAACTCCCACAGGGAGTGGAGGGGGGGGAGTTTTGGCTGCCTGCCCCCTCCCGCCCCGGCTCCCAGCGCACCTGCAGCCCAAGGCTGCCGCTCACCTAACGCCTGGGGGGGGGTGAAGTCCCAAAGAGGGAGGTGGAGCCGCAGCGAGGGATCCTCTGAAAATTGTCACTCCCAGACTGGAGCGTGAAAATCCTGCCCGGGAGCGTGGTGGGGGCGCTGGCTGGGCAGCCCTCTCTGCACA